CGTGCCTTGTCGCCAAGGAGATCCCGGCACGGAGTGGGCCTCCATCTGGTCGATGTTCCAGGTGGCGAGCGCAGGGCCTGCCACGTCATTCGCGTCACGACCAACGTCGTCTAGCCTAGCGACGACGTTCTATCCTAGGACGCTGGAAATTGCACTGTACCACTGCAACACTCGGTGGCATGACGGACACCGCGGCGAATAAAAGACGACGACCACGCACTCGGTTGTGGAGAGCATCGCGGAGAGCACATCCGAGCTGGCAATCTCACGCGGGGCGGCGAGGCGGCGGCGGACGGGTGCAGGTGGCGCCACAGCAACTACAAAGCGCCGTTCCATTCAATACAACAAGAAACATGCGAGGCGAATTGTGCACCTCTCTGGTAAGCGGCGAGCGCCGACGGCAGGTTCTTTTGCTGGAACCGCAGCACGGCGTCGCGAAAGACTACCGGTTCCTCCTCCAGCTGCGCAGCGAGCGCGGAACCTTGGAGATCGAGACTGCGAAACGTAGTCGCATCAATGTACCATACGAGGCCCGGGCGAGCAGCGATGCCAAAGTACCCGGCCAACGACAGACTCGGATCCTCGACGACAAGGTAACAGATCCGCCGCTGGCGCGATGCGACGAGGTGCAGCTGCAGCATCAACGCCGCGTGCCACGATGCGTCTTTGTCTGTCAAGATGAGCACGTACGCCAATGCGCCGATCGGCATCGCGTCTGCCGGGTTGTACGACAGTAGCCACGGCTGGGTCGCCCCCGAGTAAAAGGCGAGGACATCGGGAATCGACCAGGTGCCGAGAAAGGGTCTTGCTGGCACGACGGCCGTCGGGTCGAGTCGCCAGAGTGCCGGGAGCCGGCCTGGCTGCGGAATCACATCCGCCACGAGCGACACGTTGGTCGTGAGCGCGAAGGTACCATCCGCACCGTTGGCCAAAGTCTCCATAAAGGCGTGCGCATGGTCGTCGTCGGACGCAGTGATCGCCAGCAGCAGCGGACGAGGATGATTCCGTTGGAGCTTGGCCCACTCGTCTTGGGTGCGCACGAGCTGCAGAGGCGCGTCGTGCAGTAGCCAATGTTGCATGGCGATGGACGACACGTCGCCAAAGTACTCGGTCGGCGGTGCGCTCCCGTTGTAGAGGAGGAGCGTCGGGTACCCCGTTACGTGCAGCGCCGCTTTGTCGACGGCGACATCGATGGCGCCAAACGACATGTCTGGAATCGACGTGGCGGTGGCGGCAAACGCCTCGAGCTGGGCACTGGCGCCGGCATCCCACTACACGTTGGTTCGAATCTTGGTCGTGTACAGTAGGACCTCGTGGACCAACACGTCGACGTACCGATGCGTAGGCAAGAAGGAAGAGTGGGTCGTGCGTTGCGAGCGTCGTGCTGAGGTTGCCGACGCCCGTGAGATTCAGAAAGGCCACGGCACTTAGCGCATGCGTGGCCACGATAAGCAGTCGCGGCAGCATTCTCTCGCGTCGCCAATCGTCAATGTCGTTTCGAAACCGAATGATAGATCAGAAATTGGATCTGAGTGGATCGAGCACCGCCGTGATTCTGTGCACACAATTTTTGTGCACATAAAGTTCGTCGTTTGCTGAGATGCACCGAATGATCCAAACGACCCGTAGAAGCAAGGGCCTTGTCAGCTCTTACATGCACTCACTACAGCGCTCGTGGATGTGGCCCGTCCACGTTCAAGCGGTGCGAATGTTCTACATACATATACCAAGGTGCTGGGATGTCGCGAACGCAGTTGCAAGCTACTGGTGTGCGTAGCTGGTGTGCGTAGCGCAAGGGTTGAGTCCACACCTTGGTCACTCCAACCGCCATCTTCTCCAGCTGCGTGCACTAGTCTGCTGCTGAGCCAGGCATGCACCCGACGACGGCTACATGGCAGCTTGTCGAGATCGAATCGGAATCTGTCGCCACCGAGACATGTTGCGCTCGAAAGGCGCGGGCCTGTTTAGTAGCACATTATCGGTGCACGCTAAGCCATATATTCTGTCGTTCTTATTAGCATGGATCCTGCTGCGGCTCGACGATGCTGGCGTCATGTTGGCCACCACGGTGATAGAGTGGGCCGTTTATGGCCAGCAGCGGTTCTAATCCCAACCCTGCATCTTGCACGCGGACGGTCGCTACAGAGTGGGCCGATGTACACTTGATTGGTAAAAAAGATCCAAAGATCGTGTTTGTGCAGGTGAAAATCACCGTGAGTGCCATCATTGCACTTGGGCTCAGTATGCGGCGTATCGCGTGTGAAATGCCCTTTTCACGCAACGGTGATTTCACGCCGACGTGGCCGCTCTCAGTGCGCTCGCCACGTCCACTCAAGCGCCGCCTGCCTGCATTGTTGTGTATCAGGTGTGCCAGCAGGAGGCGACAGACGCCGCGAGATTCTAGTGTCCACTCAAAGACTCGCGTCTACTGCATGAAAAAGGGGGCAAATGGGGCAAGGGGTGTCACACCCGACCTGTCGTAAGGTATAAAAGGGCCACGGCGCTCGTTCGTTCTCTTCCAATGGGCCAAACCGTCGAAAACGCTCGCCGATCGCCGACCAACGATCCATCGACGACGCGACGACCGTCGTAGAGACACCATGCAGTGGCCGTAGTACGATAACTATGCCCCCTCTCTCTCTGTCCTGCGGAGGAAGAGAGGTCGGTCGGGGCACCCAAGCGGACTCGCAGTTGCGTTCGAGTAGCCACGCCAGTACGTCTGAGGCGGGCTCGCACTCGTCTCAAGAAGCCAGTGCCACCGATAGGCAGCCAATCGCGTCGCAGTTTGAATAGTCCAGGGCGTATTACGGTGCAGCAGCTGGTTCCAAGTGATGCTGGTCGCGAGTCGCCAATTGCCATCATGCTGCGCATGTCGGACTCGGTCGTGCTCCTCGAGCCGCCGGCCGCCGCCGCCTCGTCGCGCGTCATCGTCGTCAACGCCAAGGAGCTCGGCGGCGACTACGTCAAGAAGGGCGTTGCGTACGCGGCGACGAACCGCGACGTCCTCTGCTGCAAGTTTTGCCACATCGTCGCCACCTGCAGCGACGACGTGCTCTACGACGAAGAGCACATTTCGGTCTTTCGGCCGCTGCACCCGGCGAGCGCGTCGCACATCCTCGTCGTGCCCAAGCACCACTTGCGCAACATCAACCACTTGACGTCGGCGCATTTGGCGCTCTTGGCGCGCATGAAGGACGTGGCGAGACACGTCTTGGCGCAGCTCGGCCACTACCGCGGCCGCGACGCCGACCTGCACCTCGCGTTCCACAGCCCACCGTTCAACTCGATCGACCACGTGCACATGCATGCAATGGTCAAGGCGCGCAAGACCGCGCTCGGCTGCGTCAAGTACAAGACAGGCACGTGGTGGTGCCGCAGCTACAAGTACGTCGTCAACCGCCTTCAGTCGAAGAAGGCGTCGACGGCATCGACGACCAACGCGACGACGACGACGATCAGTAACAAGCCCCGCGCCCGGTCCTTTCACGGAAGCACGGAATTGACCAGCTATCTGCAGCTCTGCGACTCCAGCCATCGGAAGTTTGGAACGTACCCGTCGCTTGACACCGAGCGACTCGACCCGATCGAGTCGATCTAATTTATACCCCACCCGATAGTCGATAGGTTATTTTAATACGGCGCACCAACAACGCGACCTTAGTTTTTCACTCCACTGCGAGCGCTGGACCGCTCCACTGCACATACGCCAGGACAAGTACCGCGCGGAGCATCAATTGACAGCATCAATAATGTCGCCCAGATGGACAACAAGCAAGCAGAAAGCTAGCAGCAGCGGTCAAGTAGGTGGTAAGGAGCGGTCGCCAACTGGCCGCCGGCTGAATTTCCCAATTTCAAGCGCGTTCGTTGAAGTCGGAGTGATGATCGAACCAGATCCAAGATCGCCGCCAGAGAACGACGCCAGCGCTTCGAACAACGACGACGTCGGGAGAACGTACGAGCGGAGACGCAGACCGGTGCTTGCGATAGGTCGTTATGGACGTGTGCCTCTCGACGACAAGCTCTTGACTTCATGGAAGGCTTTCTGGGATTTCTCAAGCGTGCTTGAGAACCTAGCCGCGTCCGACGGCGTCGGCGACGTTGACATGGCGGGTTCGTCTGGCGATAGTATCCTGTGTCTCGGCGTCGATTTACCCAACGAGTGATGGCATTTCACTGTCGACAAGCACTCGATGCAGGGTACTGTAGAACCGTTCGCACCGATCCCATCCTGTCCTAGCCATGTGTGTGTATGTGGGCAGCAACGATACGATTCGAGCCAGCGTGTTCATGGACTCTGCAATGACGAGCTGTTTTCACGAGCCAGAATATCTTTGCGCAACGTCTCGTATGCGGCATCACCTTCCGCATCTCCACCTGGCCTCCACTTGGCGCTGACATGTACGCGCATCGATCCAGCCGCCCGACGGACGTGGCATGCAATCAATCGTATGGTAGCGCGAAGAGAGCGGGGACGTCAATGGAATCAAAGCTGGATACTACATAGCTTTATAGCACTGCAGGCTTCTGCACTTGTGGTCTTTGTCTGTGCTGCTCTACGCACAGTCGTCGCACCATCGTGCTGCCAATGTACATACATGCTTTCGTCATCGAACGAGTCCATTTGACAACGAAGCAGTTCGACTCGCTCCGTCGACTCTGTAATAATTTACTACCGGTACCGGTAGTACAGTGCACCGGACGCCTCGGGGATCGAACGCCGTCGGCATCCTCGGCGTAGGTCGGTGGGGACGGTGCTACTGGCGGGTTTCATCGAGCGAGTACTGTTTCATCCGTGTCACTGTTCTCGTATCGAGTGTCGAGGCAACCAGGGACTCGACTCTTCATAGGCTTACTTTGGTCTTCAAGTCGATGCACCATCATAGGAGAAAGACCGTCATGCCGGCCAGAGAGAGACCGTCATGGGACGGCAGTAGCCAGCACGACACAACCAGCACAGTGCTCCAATCTTATTGTTGGTCGGGCTGCCGTACGTGACTATAAACACCCAACCCTCCGTGCAGTCGGTTTGGACGTGCATGGAAACGCTGCCTCGAACGTCAAGGCTAAACCCACACCGTCCCGCGTATCTTCGTCCTTTGAAACGCGTGCGGCGTCGCCTCTTGGTCGACCGCCCAGCGCATTGTACGGTGCTTGGGTGCAGTTGCTTGGTCGATCGTCGGGGTGAGACGCGTGCAGCTGCGCTAGTAGCCCTTCTGCATGGCCTGTGGTCCACGAGAGTTGCGTCGAGATATCCTCGCCAGTCGATCCCGACACAAACGACATGCATTCTTCCTTTCAATGTAGAATGTTGGTCTGGAAACCTCTACAATTACATATTTGGCCGGCGCGTATTACATGTTGGAGAGATCGACAGGCTGGCCGTTCGAGGGCCGAAGGAACGTTGGGTGCTCGTAGCCCACTTGACAACCGACAACTAAAGCAAGAAGCATGGGCTCCGGACTACCCGCGGTCGAGCGGCTCGTCGGCGCGCTCTCGACGCTGGCGGTCGGCCTCACCATCTACGTCGTACGTCACCGCCGCCATGGTGCCAGCAGCTCAGGATGATGCTACTAGGTGCATCGCGTCCTGCGCCCCAAGCCCATGACCATGGACGACTACTACCGGTAGGCCGACGATGCGTCGCCGCCGCTTGCTCATGCGCGCGTAGGCAAAAGTACATGGACACGAGCGATATGATCGGCCACAAGGGCAGCTGCGGCTGCGGCGCCATGACGTACGATAGCATGCTTGCTACATGCGCGCATGCTCACGGCGCGATAGGTTCATCGTGCTCGCACCGCGCAACATTTGCGCCTTTGATGATAGCAATACCTTTCCGTCCAAGAAGGGCCGTATTCCCGTCCTCGTACGCGCGTATGTCGATGGCACCTGCGTACTCACGATGCGGCTAGATTGTGCCGATGACGCACCTCCAGATGACGAGCCAAAGCACCGAGGACGCCAATTCGTTCGTGTCCATCTACACACACCACGAGACGCCGACGTTTGCATCGCAGCATGTCTTTTGCAAGCGCTGTGGCATCCACCTCTTCCACATGGAGCTCAGCCGCACGGACCGTGTGGCCATCAACGTGCATTGCATTGACGACGACTACATCCAAGAACTGCGGGTTCGATTCCCACACATTGCGACGCCTTCCTGACAACTCTCTTGTAGGTCGTGTTTGTGCCCAAGGGCGGGCGACCCATCTTTGAGCGGCTCTCGGTCGACGCGATCGAAGACCAGACGACGACGTCATCCTCGTCCACGACCAAGGCCATTGGCCAAGCACACAAGCAAATCGGGGCTCAAAACAAGAAGATCCCTCCGCCCTCGTACGTCCACGCTACCTTGCCGCAGACGTCGGACGAACCAGTGGCTCATTCTGTAGAACGTTTGAGCGACAGCTCATGGCGTGGTCGCAGCTCCAGACACAAGCAGACCAGCCGCCCGTGGTGCCGATCACGCACGCACCCGCCAAGGTACTTGTACACGTTTCTAGTGTGCATGTGATGATGGTGGCCACTAGCAACCCGAGCCAGCCAAGCCCGAGATGCCGCGACACGACCCGATGACGACGCCACCGACTCCGCCCCACGACTCGATCTCACACGTACGAGGTGTTGTCTCTTGAGGCGTGGAGAGTGATGTGTTGGTGTCTAGATTCCTCAGCAAGATCTGGTGCGAATGAAGCACCAGCTCCAGTACTACTTGCAGGTATTTGACGGCATTGGCAGTAGCATGTTCATCAAAAATGGATGCCTAGCGCCACTTTCGGGACGGCGACGACGGCGCGACCGCAGTCGTATAGGAGCAACATTAGTGTAGTCTAGGACCCTTATTTCCAGTTACAACGCAAAACTACTATTTTACAGACAATATTGTCCGTTCCTCGCACGCAGCCACCTCGCAACTGCTCGACTGGGCCATTTAACTAATTACGTGCACACGCCAATGGAGATGCTTCAAGGACGTCGGGAGCCGCCGACCATGAAAGCCATCGAGGTCGAAGCGCTGCGAGCCAACACGACCACCCTGAGCTCGATAGCATAGCATGACGTCATGCCATAGAGCTCTTTGGATGGCCGTGTTGGCTCGCAGCGCGTTGCAGAAACCCAGCACCGTTGCGTGGTCGCAGTGTGTGATGTTGGTAACCTGAGGTATCCGGCTAGGTGCCATAAAGAGATAAAACGACGCGACCCGACGTCTTTGTCCAAATCGCGGGCTGACGTTGGCGCCTCGTCGATCTATCCGCAGAGTAGCGAGCTGGCGATGACCGCCAGCAGATCGCTGAGCTCCAAGTGCACGTTGACTCTCTCGTGCAAGAACTCGACGTAGATGACCACCTCGGCACTGCCGAGGTGGAAATCACTGCAAGAGAAGGTTGCTACAACCGCTTGGCCGACCTTGGACACGTAGCTGTACTCCTCGAGTATGACACTGTCGAGCCCAGAAAAGGCATGTGTGAGCAGAGGCAGCGTCGATCTCGAAGCGTGGATTAGATTAAATGACCGTAATGTAGTAAGCAATAAGATAAATCCGACATGGCGCCGAAGGCGGGTGGGATTGGAGTAGCTTTCGGAGCAAGGTTTGGCGCTTTACAGAGGCGACCAGCGTGACGATGCGTCCGGGAAGATAGCGAGGCCAAACGTGAGCAGCTCGGTTTTGGGTTCGGCTTGAAGCCAGAGGAAGAACAAAACGTGTCGACGAGAGCGAGTAGCGAATTTGCGTCCCTAGCAATGAGCTGCGCGTCATCGGCAAAGCAGCTGACGACGTGTTGGCGGTCGTTGATCGTGATTTTCCATGGCAGGTGCGCTCGATCTCTTCACGACAGAAAGGCCAGAGTGCTCAGCTTGGCTTGGCTACTCCAGCGCATTGGACGGCTTGCGGCCGAGCTCTTCATTTACGAACGGTCGAGCAAGATGCAGGGCTGCTACCATGTACCGGTAGTGCCACCGACCACCGACGACGATGAAGCCAACAGCAACGACGAGCACGACGCCGACGAAGGGCCTTTTGCGTGAAAAGCGAGAACGTGGTGGTCAAGCCGCTTGTCCATCCCAATGCGCTATATGAGAGGTACTCGAGTGCTCGATCTCACAGACTTCCTCACCATCCTTTAGAAATATCTTGAACAAGACATCGCAATGGTGAAAATCCAACGCCAAGATATCAAGAGACCGCGTGTCGTCGACATGCAATGGGACACGGTCTCTTGATAGCTTCCCGTTGGATTTTCACGATCGCGATGTCGCGTGCAACACGTCGAGAAGGCACACGACTGGTGCAGGTTTGACAACTTGGCTATTTCTACATGAAACATGTAGGGGTTGCACACATCGCCAGACCCGCCTCGGCCCTCGTCGGGTCTGCCGAAGTAGGGGTTGCTCCAGGAGGTACTTTTGCTTTCCTTCGGCATCGTCTGACGCGCATCGCTATTTGTAGGTGCCGCCTCCAGCGCTGCAAGCCAAGGGCAAGAAGGCTATCACGCACTAGTATAATACATGCAAACGGTGCGTGGGTTTGCTGTCTCATACATTTTCTGGCGCACCTCGCGACCGCCGTCGCCCACGCAGCTCAAGCACATTGGCTGCAGCGTCTTTGGCCAGCTCGCGACTTGTCGAGCTGCGGCACCGATGCTCGCACAACTGCAGACCTTCGCCGTGTCTGGTTTGGACGCGGGCAACGTAGACGCCAATCATCGTCGCCATTGCAACTTGCGTGTCATTCATTAAACACTGCGAATGCTAACAAGCCTATTTTCATTTTCAATCGACTACCAAGCGCATGGCTCGCATCGTTGCGCTCGTACTGTCGACAAGGTAGTCGATAGGTTGAGGATCGATTGGTAGTCGACTTCCAGCGGTGATGCGATTCAGCAATATGACGTGGCACTTCACAAACGAAATTCTCATTCCAATGTCGACTATGGACGGCTGCCGCAGAGGTATCAACGATTTGGAAGCGACGAGACGCCTTGCCATGCTGCCACGTAGTCATGCGTAGTCAGGGGGATGACGTAGTGTACCTTCAGTAAAAGTACATTGCCTTCGTGGTCGACGCCCTTGGAGCCATTGAACGGCGACTCTGGCGGCGCCAAACCGGTTGATTATTTTCGTGTAATCGGTTTGGAGATATAAGGAATGCATTGGCGGTGTTAGCGTCTCGACTGTGTTGCTGGTGCTTCTCCAGTGTGCCCTCCTGTTGCAACGTGATGATTTGCGCTTTCTTAGGTCCATTGCGATTGGATGAAAAATAAATGTATTTGAACCAATCCCGGCATGGCACTGGCCAAGATCGCTCATCGGACGACGAAGCATGCACCTGCCCGTGGCCGTGTGGAGCCATTGCGCGCTGCGGGACCTCGCGCTGCGCGTGACGACGACCTGTGTCTCTCTAGGCGACGACTGCGCGCCGACCGCCCTGGTCTGCGGCACGACAACCGGCGTGCTCCTCCTTTTCCGGGCGAATGCGGGGACATCGACGACGTGGCGCCTCGCCGCGCTCCTGCTTCGACACGAGGCGCCGATCGCCGGCCTCGTTATGGGCACCAACGAGTGGGGCCAAGCCATTTGCGCCAGCGTCGACGTAAGTGGGGCCGTGGGCCTATGGCAGCTCTCGGATGGCCGCTGCCTCGCGTGGCTACAGGCCGCGGCGACCGACATTGCGCCCGTGCTCGGGTACGTGCTTGCATCGCGCGTTGCCTCGCTCCATCGTGGCGCCTTGTAGAATGCAGATGCTCTCGAACGACCGCTACATGCTCGTGTATGGTGAGCAAGGTACGAATCTTCGCATGGGCTTCCTCTACCGCGGTCGCCACGAGCAGCATTTTGCTAGGGCGCATGGTGTTGCTCGACGCATGGAAGACTATCGTGCTGGCATCGCCCGGCACGAGCATGCACCAAGCGCGCATTGACGTAGCCGTGGCGCCATGCCGCAAGACGTCGCAAGTAGTGCAGCCTGTTGCCTGTATTCTGGTAGGACGACACTCTGCCACGTAGATGGCCTACGACGCCGTCCTTCTCTCGCTGGGCATGGAAGGCTTGACGAGCTGCTTTGGCTGGACGCAGCCCATCATCACGTCGTCGTCTGCATCCGACCCGAGCCCGACCTTTGTGTGGACCCAAGCTGCGTCCTGGGTCCTCGCGTGGTCGAGCGAAGCGTCCGACATTACGTGCATCGAGACGTCGATCCATCCCGCGACCAACTGGCTGCACGTCGACCTCTTCCCGCTCCACGTACTCCGCCTTTGGATTTTCGTCTTTTAAATCATCTTTAATTGGCGTAGGCGAGACTGAGCCCGAACGGCCGACTCGTGCTCTTCATTTGGTCCAACCGTTGGGCCATCCTCGAGCGTGCGTGGCTCTTCCACAGCGTGGAGGACGAGACAGCGACGCTGCCAACCTGTTTTCAAGCAAGCGACAACGTCCAGTGGGTCGATGGCACGTTCGCCGACGACGAGCATGTGCTTTTGTGGACCACAAACAATCGCGTCTACTGCTTTCCCGCCACAGACGCCGACATGAATGTCGATTCGCCCCGGACGCTAATGGCAACGCCACGACCTTGTACCTGTTTACCGCACCCGCCACCGACGTCGAGAAGCCAACGTCGACGGCCCGTCCGCTTCGAACGACGGCGTTGCCCGACGCGCCACTGTGCAAAGTGCCCGCTTGTACCTGCCGCCGTCCACCGTTTGCCCCGTCTTTTGGCACGATAGCGTGCACAGCCAACGCAATGATCACGTACGTCTGTCCCTTTGGCTGCACGTGGCGGTACTCGGCTGCGACGTCATCGGTGCCGACGCCATTGCCGACGCCGACCTCGTCACCGCCGCGCGTGTCCCACATGGTCATGGGCAAGAAGCCCGCACCTGGTACACATCGATGGGTGGTTCATCGACTGGGATGTTGCGGTCTAGGTGCGTCGGCGCAAGCCTCGCTGCTGTGGAACACGCCTCTCCTTGTATGCGTCGTTTCCGTCGAGTATCAATGTCTCAACCGATGTGGATAGATTCACGGGTTCGACGACGGACACATCACGCTCAGTCCGCTTGTCGGCGTGCCGCCCATCACGCTCGACTGTCTCAGCAGCGCGATCACAAGCATCGGCCACGTGATTGTTAATGCGGTCGAGTCGCATGCAGCCACTGCACCGCTGTATGAGGGCTACGCCGACAGCCCGACGTCGTCGGTTCGATACCCGTCGACCGAAAAGCTGCAGCGGATCTCGCTGCTGCTGCACAAGCTCCAGCACTCGCATCTCTCGACGCCAAAGGCGGCATTGCTGTCGCCACCGAAGTCGTCGCCGCCATCGGCCGAGAGCTTGTCCGCGACGCCCATGGTCGTGCTGCTCTTCACGGGCAGTCGCGATGGCAGTGTGGGCGTCTCCCAGATCCGCCTGCGGTGCGTTTCCTCGATGCATTGCAACTATCAACTTGATACTTTTGCGTAGCCTCGACGCCGGTGCCGTCGTGCCATCGGCGACGCTCCTCCACACGTTTCATCGGCACCGCAAGGCGGTGCGAGCCATTCACGTGAGCGGTCCGAGCCCGCTCGGGCACCTCGTCGCTTGTGTGGGCGACGACCATGCGGTAGCCACCGACCTTGTCCATATATTGGGTCCACCCTTTCCTAGGTGAGCGTCTACACGGTGCGCATGGACACGACCGCACTCGACGTGGGTTTTTTCATGGACTGCGTCGGGCAAGGCGGCTGCGTCGTTGACGTTCGCTGGGACTTTCGCACGCAACACGTGCTTCTCGAGTGCGATGACGCGCTCTTGTACGAATTTGGATATCTATCCAAGTATCCTTTTATCTATCCATGTAGGTACATTTGGAGTCTCCGCACGGGCGTCCTCGAACGCATTGTGCCATCGGCCATGGTGCCTGCGTCAACGCTCCCAGAGGAGACGCGAGATCCCGTCACGATCGCGTCCCCGCTGTCGGCACCGATGGTCCACGTCATGACGTTTGAGCTGCGGACGACGGTCGAGCGACTGCAGCGACTCTGGGCGTCACCATCCGCTTCGGTACACGGCTCTGCGCCCTCTTCGTTTGGTATTTTGACACGTACTTAGTCGACGGGAACGGCTCTGGACGCGACGTTCTTGTCGTTTGCGCTCTCCTGGGGACTCGACGCCCGCATTGACGCCCTCGTGGAGCGTTGCCTCTGTACGCCTGCTCTCCCGCATCGAGGCTAAGATGTCATCTGATAGATGTGCATGCGCCGTCACTGGCCTACTCGATGGCAATCACAGGCGCGGCGAAAGCGCTGACGGTGCCGCTGCCGAGCTCTTCAGCGCCGCACACGACCAAGTGGCAGCATTCATCCTTTGTCTCGGCCGAGATCGCCCTGGCGTTGGTACGCATTGCTTCAACGACGACGACATGGCGGCTTATGGTTTGCATCAGGTGACGATGTGTACGAGCTTTATGGACGAGAAGCGAAAAGACGATGAACTGTCGGAGCAACTGCAAGTGCTCTGGAGCCAGCTCATCACGCAGCACATGGTCGGTGCTTCGACCCCTGGTTTCCTCCGATATTGATGCGATATATTCTGTTAGGTCTGCCTCCCCGAACAAGTGGATGCGTACGTTGAGCCATCGCTGGACGTGCTCGCCTCGTACGGCTTTCACGAGTGGGAAGCACTGCAGATGGCGTCGCGGCTTCTTTACACGGTAGAAAATCGCTGGTTAATGGACTTTTGGCGACGATGTATCGGCTGTAGGCGTTATCAAGCGACTGCCACCGACGACGCGCAGTACGACCGCGGCCGAGTACATGACACGGTACCACTGCGAAGTCCAGCAGCTCGAGAAGGACCTTGGGGGTATATACCGCTCTATGGGCATGACTCGTTCATTCGGTCGTAGGTCTCAAGCAAGTACCAGCGCCCCGCATCGTATCGCGACTCGGATCGATGCTCGTGCTGCTCAGCGTCATGGGCACGTGCTTTCCCGGCGAACTCTCGCCCGCGAGCGCGCGCCAAGTGTGCGACGTCCTTGTGTCGCTGCTCCAAGGCCCACCGGCGACCGCCTGCGTCGCGGCCGAGCTCCTCGCCAAGGGCCTCCTCCTCTTCCGCCCACACCTTGTCGACCTCGCCCAGCTCGTGCGTCATGCTCCTCACTTTATACGACACCAAATACACGAGCGTCTATGGAAATAGGTGGTGCAGCTCATTCCGTTGACGCTGGACCCCTCCGACGACGATCGGAAGCGGCTCAAGCAGGCCGCGATGCGTCTCCTCGTCGAACTTGGGACGTGCGAGGCCGCCTCCGTCTTGGTTGTGCTCCAACAAGAGATGAGCACGAGTGATCGAAGCTATGCGTACCGCGAAGGCGTCCTCGTCTACCTTATGACGTGGGTGAATCTCCAGTACCTTCTCATGGCGCGGCACCTCCCCGCGGTCATCGAGACCATCTTGTGCTGCCTTGACCCGACCAAGCCCGATCGCCGGAAGAAGTGTCTGGCCATGGTAGGCCACGACGAATGACAACTTGTCCATACGTAAAGGGTCTCTTCGTAGAGCACCAAGTGCCTCCACGACCTCGTCAAGCGATTTCCAATGGTCGACTTTCACAAGACAACGCAGCGACTCGCCATCGGCACCATGGAAGGCGTCGTCTTGCTCTACGACCTCCGCACGGTGCGAGTTCTGAGTCGACAAGGCAACTAACATCGTACGTAGGCGACAAAGTGGCGTGTGCTGGACGGCCACACGACCGCGCTCTCGGCCGTGCTCTTCCGCAAGGACGGCGCCATGCTGGGTATCTATGAATCTATCAAGTGGCGTTCTTGATAGAATAGCGATTAGTGTCGTATGCGGCGAGGGAGGCGAGCGTGCGCTGGTGGAACGTGACGGCCGGCGGGCTTCTCTCGCTCCTCAAAGTGCAGCAGTCGTGCGTCCGTCAACTGCAGCTGGCGCCGCTCACGCAGCACCTCCAGCGACCCGCCGAGTTGCACAAGGTGATCCAGAGCTGCCGCTTCCGATTGGCGCCCGACGACGTCAACGTCTGGCTCACGCGCGAAGACGAGTCGCTCTTGCCACTCAATTTTCACATTTAATACGTCTCGGTGGTGCGACCAATAAGACCCTGCGCTCGCCCAGGGGCGTCCGGCGAGCTGGTCCCTTGTGGAGTGACCAGCTACGACACAAGAGCCTCGAAGGAGTCGTGTATCTTGAATCTCAATGCTCGAAGCCCGTGCATCCCGAATCTCAGTTCTCAAAACACGTTTGGCGTCTCATTTTCGCACGCCTGTGATTGAACGAAACACGACAGGGACATGGACTCAGCACCCCGCTCGGCGCAGGGATGAGTTATAGGGAGCAATTGTGTACCCCTGGCTCGGAGGTGGCACTTGCTTCGTGCCAACATCCAAGCGTGCCGACTCTCAACATGGCGATTCTCTGTCTCGTCAAGGTATGCGCCTCCATCAAGGCCAAGCAGGACGCAGCAACGCAGGCGGATGCAACACCAACTCGTCTATCTGGAGCAATTTGCATTTATTCAAAAACATTTCAAAGAGAACGTAATGCGACGACATCCTTACGTCGTCGTCTTGCTCATTTGGCGAGCGACGAGGTTTTGGTACAAGCCGTCGGGAATGTTCATGAGCTGGTCGTGCGTCCCGAGCTCGGCGACGCGACCGTCGTGGACGACGGCAATGACATCGGCGTTGCGGATCGTCGACAAGCGGTGGGCCACAATAATGGTCGTCCGCTTCTTGAGCGTCAGGAGCTTATCGAGCGACGCTTGGACGATGGCTTCGCTCTCCGTGTCGAGCGCACTGGTCGCCTCGTCGAGCAGCAGAATCGCGGGGTCGCGAATGATGGCGCGCGCGATCGCGACGCGCTGCTTTTGGCCGCCCGAGATTTGCACGCCGCGGTCCCCGACCGACGTGTCGTACCCGTCTGGAAACCGCGCGATAAAGTCGTGGGCGTTGGCCTTTCTCGCCGCCTCTTCAATGTCGTCGCGACTCGCATTCGGCTTGCCCATCGCGATGTTCTCAGCGATCGTGCCCGCAAACAGCACGGGCTCCTGCGACACGATCGCAATGTGGCTGCGCAGCGACGCGACGTTGAGGCATGCAATGTCGACGCCGTCGATCGTCACGACGCCGGCGCTCGGGTCGTAAAACCGCTGCAAGAGCGCAATCGCGGTGCTTTTCCCGCTGCCGCTGCCGCCGACCAGCGCCAGCGTCTGGCCGCTCGCAATCGAGAGGTTGTAGTTGCGGTAGATCTTGGCGTCTGGCCGGCTCGGGTAGGCAAACGCCACGTGCGAAAAGTCGACGTCGCCGTGCACGTGCGTTAGGGTCGCGCCCGATGCGGCCATCGCATCGATGCTCGGGACGTGGTCGATGATGCCAAAGATGCTCTGGACCGCCTTCTTGGCCTTGCCGACGTCGCCGAGCCCTTGGACGGCGATGCCGACGCCAAACGAGCAAAAGAGGATCGCGTTGAGGACCGTCATCATGGCTTCGAACGTCACGTCGCCGCGGAGGAGGAGCCAGCCGCCAAAGTAGAAGGTGGTGGCGATCGCCAGCACCATGGTGGACTGACTGAGGCCGTACGCGCACGCGCTCTTTAAACCGACTTTGACGTCGGTCGACGCCGACTGCTGGAGGTAGGTCAGGTACGCTGCGTTCGTGGCTTTCTCGAGGCCAAACGAGGCCACGGTGCGGATCGCATTGATGGCTTCCGAGAGAAGCGCGCCGGCGTGGAGGTCGCCGTCGTTGAGGTCCTTGTCGCCGCCGCCGAGCGTCTGCATCTCCATGACGCTGGCAAACCCGAGGATCGGAAAGATGGCGGCGAGCACCAACGTCATCTTCCACGAGTAGTAGAACGCGACGCCAAAGCCGACACCGAGCGACGAGGCGTTGACGAGAACGGCGTTGAGGGACTCGGACGTCATGGACCGAATGGCCGCCGAGTCGGTCGCAAGGCGGGTCGTGAGCGCGCCGGGCGTGTGCCGCGGGTCGTCAAACCACGCCATGTCCTGGCGCAGCATCGCCTGGAAGCTCATGTAGCGGATGCGACCTGTGAGCCGCTCGGACGCGGTGGCAAACTGGTGGTACTGCGCAATGATGGCAAGCACGTACACAAGGCCCATGACGACAAAGCTGAGGCCCCACCACATGGCTTCATGGCGCATCTCGGACGACGAGAGGTCTTGGCGGTAGAAGAGCACGACGCATTTCGTCAGAAGCACGCCCCAGACAGGGTATACGGCGCCGTGGATGAGCGCGCCAAGACTGCCAACGACCAACTGCCGTACTTCGGGGCGGCTCAGACGCCACACGCGCGAGATAGGCACCAATGGCCGCTTGAGCCCGGCACTGTCGACCGACGTCGCGTCGTCATCGCCAGTCGACGAGGCGCCGTCACCCATCTCTTTGTGGCGCTCAGTGGCCTCGGTCACGACCGCCGCCAATGACGCGTCGTCAATTGCATTGTCCTCGTCGTCGCTCGCGTGTCGCATCTGCGCCGTGACGAGGCCCTTGTAGTGACCGTGGGGAATCGAGAGAAGCTCGTCGTGGGTGCCGTCTTCGACGACGACACCGTCGCTCAGCACGACGATGCGGTCGGCGCCTCGGATCGTCGAGAGACGGTGCGCAATGATGATGGTGGTGCGCTGGCGGGCGGCGACGAGCGCATCCAGCGACGCCTGCACGACATGCTCGCTCTCCGTGTCGAGCGCACTCGTGGCTTCGTCCAGCAAGAGCACGCTCGGGTTCTTGATGATCGCGCGGGCGATCGCAATGCGTTGCTTCTATCGTGCGATACATGTGATTCAGTGTCAATGTATCAAGTGGACACAAACGATACCTGGCCACCCGAGAGCTGCGCGCCACGGTCGCCGACGTCCGTGTCAAAGCCCGCGGGGAACCCCATGATAAAGTCGAACGCATTGGCTTGCTTGGCGGCGGCCATGACCTCGTCGAGCGTCGCATCCGGCTTGCCGCGGCGGATGTTGTTGGCGATCGTGTCGGCAAACAAGCTCGGCTCTTGGCCGACGAGACCAATTTGCGCGCGGAGCGACGCGACGTTGAGGTCCTTCAAGTCGACGCCGTCGAGCGTAATGCGGCCGCCCACGGGGTCGTAAAAGCGCTCGAGGAGCGAGACGATCGTGCTCTTGCCCGACCCGCTCGCCCCCACGAGCGCAATCTTTTGGCCCGCGGGAATCGAGAGCGAGTAGCCGGCGCACACTTGGACGTGCGCGCGTGACGGGTAAGCAAACGAAATGTTTTCCAATTCAATGGCCCCACGCACCATATTGGGGTCCAGGACCGTGCCCGACTCGTCCGTCACGTCGATGTGCGAGGCGCGGGCAATGAGCGCAAAGACATCGTGGGCGGCCGCGCGCGCTGTGTAGATGGCTTGGAGCGCCGGTCCGGCCTGGCCGAGCGCCATGGCGCCCATGACGATGCAGAAGAAGATGGTGATGACGCGGCCGCCGTTGTAGCAGTCGCTCGTGACGCACCCATCCGCGATATCATTGCTGATCTTGACGGCGCCATAGTACATGCCGAGACCGTTCGTGAGGAATTGCATGAAGAACATGACACCCGTGCCAACGCCGATGGCCAGCCCCTTCTTGACGCCGGCGGCTTCCGTCTTGGCGAGCGCGACTTGGTACTTGGCGGCGATGCGCTCCATCGCATGAAACATGTGCACGGTGCGGATGTTGCTCAAAGCTTCTTCAGCGACCCCGCCTGCCTCCGCGTACGCATCAACGCCGGTTTGCACCGCGTCCGACATGGCTTTGGTCATGTAGTAGGCTGAGAGGCCGATGAAGGGCGTCAAGGCAAAGAGCACGAGTGAGAGCTCCCAACCGTACACAAAGGCCAGGACGATCGAGCCAACGCCCATGGCCGCGTAGTTGATACCGTCGCCGATCTTGCGACCGATGCCATTTTGCACGAGGAGCGTCGTGTCCACCACGCGTGTCGCGAGCGTCATCGGCTCGCTCACGTCAAACCAGCCGACCTCTTGGCGCAGAATCGCACTGGCGTAGGCGTGGCGAATGCGCTTCGACTGGCGCGACGCCGAGATCGTCCAGCAAGCGACTTGGCCAAACGCGGTGAAGAGAACGCCAAGGCCAAGGTACACAAACTTGAGCACGACGCTGTTGATGCTACGGCGGAAGAGGTCGGCGTCAATGACGTCGCCGTTAATCGGGTTGAAGGCGTTGATGATGTCGCCAAAGAAGAGGATCTGCACTGGCTGGGCGATGCCGGTCGCGGCCGCAAACAGCGCGCCGGTGACCATGAGCACCTTGTCGGTTGCGTCGGCGTACTGGAAGAGCTTGGACAGTGGAATGAGCGATGCTGTCGTTGGCGTTGTTGTTGTTGGTGGTGTTGTTGTGTTTTTCGGGTTGGAAGCGGCGTCGCCCTTGTCGCGCGGGGAGGCCAGCGCCACGTACGTCGTGTCGGCGGCGGACATGTTGGGACGTGCGCTGGACGCTGCAAATGTCGTTGTGAGCTCACGTCGAAGCCGAACGATGGACTACCGAAGCTGCGCTACAGGTGGCTTGTTGTTGACGGGCACCAAGGCCTGTCCATGGGGATGGCTGGACGCATGACGGTTCGCTCTCTCTTGGCGTTTGTATGTCCCTGCGATGTGATGATGGGCAAACGCGTGGCGCCGAAATCCGAGTTTGGGCCAATCAAAAGCGACGAAGAAATCGATGCACCAATCCAATTGCAGCATTGTTCGAACGACCTACCATTTCCATCGCCATTTGTTGTTTCACGCATTTGCCGCGTGCGTGATCCACCAAGGAATACAATAGTCCTATTCTTTGTCAGGCGGTGTATTACCGGGATTACCACTATGGGTTTTTCTTTTTCTATGTGGTCCATCGTCAAGCTACTTGATCGACCAGCAGCGTCCGCGGTCGTGAGCCAGACCCGTGTAATAGTCCTATTCCCTTGGCCGATCGCGTGATGAGGCACGCGACCGACCATCAATCGCGTTGACCATCATCGTCGCGGGTTGCAGTACCTTTGATACCGACGTTTTTAGCTTCCATTGTTGGCGCCACCAAAGGTCTGTCTTTGATCCACCACCGTACGCCATGCCGCGTTGCGAGGAAAGACCGCGACTGCCTCCGCGCTGTGGCAATGCGACAGGCGTGCGCTACAACGTGCCACGTTATCAGGTCGACACCCGAGGCTAACTTTCTATGCAACAATCGCACAACAAGGACAGTCTGCCAGAACACTTTGTTGCATTCCAACAGTGCGCTTAGTGGTGCCGACGTCAAGGGCCGACGGCAATCGTGGCAGCGTACGGCTGCCCCGTCGCACGAGCAAACACGTCGCAGGTGGCCCGACGAAAGCTACGGGGTCTCTGCCGCCGAGGCAAGCGCATCTTTCTGGCGCTGCACGAGTGCCTTGGCCCGCTCGACGACGTTGGCGGGGCAGCCTACGCAATGGAGGGACAGCGGGAATGATGCAAACACGCAGTACTATACCGGCGAGGGCGGCGACTTCGACACCGTACGATTCTTTGGCGACGCCAGGCACGACGCGGTGGGAAAAGATCAGACCTGCCTTTCTACACCCATGGAATCATCTCCAGCACGACACACTCGATTTGCGACGTACTTGTGGCGAGCGACTTGCATGTGGTGGAACGATACGGCTTGCGCGTTGGCAAAAATGCTGCTAAGTTCGGTAAAGTGGGTCGCGAAGAGCGTCCGGCTCTGGCGCCGAAGGAGCTCCTCGACCACCTACGCTAAGATAAGAACTCGGTTCAAAAAAGGACTTGAATACGGCTTGGGCGATGGCGACGCCGTCTTGCACCGACGTGCCGCGGCCAACCTCGTCCATCAGGATGAGCGATCGATTCGTTGCCTAGATATGACTTGAGCGTAGTTGCACAATGGCTCTCATCACCCGCACCTGCTTGAGAATCGTCGCAGTCTCTTGCATTTCAACCATAAACGTGCTCCGATCGGACGCGAGATCGTCCGACGCGCCCACCTACATACCTCGTTTTAACAACATGCCAAATAGAATATCAAAACAAGTAGTTGTCCCTACCCGACTAAAAAGGCGGTCGACGATGCCAATGTGCGCGCTCACAGCAGGTACAAAGCTGCCCATCTATCGCATCCAAATCGTATCAATCTATCAAGACAAGGTTGGGACACAAGAAGACTACCTGCGCAAGGAGCACGAGGTGTGCCGTCTGTCGCAGAAACGTGCTCTTCCCGCCCATATTGGGCCCCGTGACGATCCAGCACGAGTCGTCGGAGCTGAAATGCAAGCTGTTGGGGACAAACGCGCGCAAGTTGGCTTCGTGCGCCGACGCCACGACCCAGTGACGCCCCTCGACAATGTGCATGTCGGCAGACGTGGCCGACAGCGTCGGTCGCACCAGTTGGTGGTCCAACGCTATAGTGCAATGTCGGCAACGACGACTCGGTATTGATTATATGCGTCGCACCGTTCTGGGCGTGACTGGCCGCGACATCGAGCTGGTTCAACGCGTCGCCCAAAGTCTCAATGGCGGCAGACACCGCCAAGACACGGCCTTGCAGCTCCTTGAAGAGCGCTTCCTCGACCTCGACACTCTAGAACCAGCTGCGAGCAATGCATTACCGAGCAGGCCATTGTACCTGGTCCAACGCGTGAAACACATCCGAGTTGAGCTTGTCGAGGGCAGGCGACCGGTACCGAAGCGTCTTGGTTGTCGTTTGGATCAGCTGAAAATGGGGCGCTACGCGTTCTTGAGCCAACACTCTACACGATGCGTGTCGTACGGGCGAGCGGCGGCGATGTGTCTTGGGGCACTTCGACACACCAGCCGACGTGCTGCTTCTTGCGCGCCACGCGAAGTTTTGCAACGCCCGTGAGCGTCTGGTACTCGCGTTGGAGGTCTCGAATCTGGTCGGTCACCGAGTCGTGGCAGAGACGGCGCCATTTATCAAGTTCACTTGAATACCCTACCCCCACAAGAAAACATCATTTTCATGTCGTGAAAAAAATGTCCCGTACCGGGGCGGATAAAATCGTGCTTTTGGTTGAGTTGCGTCATGTCGTCGACGAGCGCCGCTTGCACGTCGATGGCCATGGCGACGACTAGACGTTTTTGGTCAATATTGTCATAATCTTTCATGACAAATCGCGTACCTTCGGGCACATGAAAGGCGTCTCGGAGACGCGTAATGAGCTCGCACGGCCAGTGGCGCGGGCCGTCCCGCAAGTAGTGCGCCAGCGCTTGACTCTCGAGCACGGTGTCACTAATCTAACACAAAACAACATTGCAACAGTGGATTCTTGGCGCGCGACCGTACTCGCTTGAGGTCTTTCGGCGTCCCATTGCCCATCGCAAGACGCCGGAGGCTCCGCTCAATGTCGCCGCACTCCTAAAGCCCCTTGAGCCAGCGATAGATGCGCGTGTAGGTGGAATACCTGCAGAATATGACGCAGCTTGGAGAGACCGTGGGTATCCTGGAGCAGCCACGACACGGCGTCTTGACGCTTGGTAATGTCATCAACGCGCACGAGCGGCGCCGAGAGGTGTGCCTGCAGTCTTTGTGTACAGGATCGAGAGCACATCGGGTCGGTACCGCCAGGAGCCGCGCGCCACCTGCCGTCTTGGTCTTGTCAACGGCTTGCAGAAGGCTGTGCTGCTTGGTCCCGTGCATCGACTACCACGACAGACATTCGTATGTATCGAGTCTAAATATTCAGCCTTTTCAACACCTTGGTGATCTCCAGCGACCGCCACGCACTCGCGTCGATGAGCATGCGCGGCTGCAGCGCCGAGGCATTTTCCGGTGCGTCCGTCTCGAGGTGCGTGTACCGAAGGTACTCGGTGATCATGGCCGACGCCGACGCCGACGCCGGTCGGTACGTCTTGAGACAGTGGGCGGGCAGCTTGGCCTCGACGAGCTGCCAAAACACATCTGCACAAACGAATAGAAGCATGACGTCATTTAGCACCGCACGCACCCGTTGCACTCGCCGTGGCGTTGATCGGGAGGAGCATCTCGGTCGGATTGAGGCGGCAAAGCTCGCTTTCGAGCTCGTCCAATGTCGTCGCCAAGCGATGAAACTCGCCCGTCGAAACGTCGGTCCACGCGAGCTCTAGCGACTCGCCAAGGTGCGTCATGGCCGCGAGGTAGTTGTTTTGGCCGGCGTGCAGCATCGAGTCGTCCGTGAGCGACCCGGGCGTGACCACCTACGCGCTCTTTCAACGTCTATACAAGAGATGGTTCGGTACCCGCACAACGTGGCGCTGGACGAGCGCATGGACGCCGACACCCTTGCGCTGCTTGGCGGCCGTCGCCGACTAGTCGCGCTGCGTTGTCCAACTCGTTCGAGATCGTCGTAGCGTCGCTGTACCTCGGTCTGGTTGCAGATGGCGACCTTCTCACCGTGGTGCCGAACAAGCTTCTCGACGTACGTGTTGAGCGACGCGACCGGAAACCCGCACATGATGTCCATGTCGTGCGCTTGCTTGGATTTCGCCTTGCGCGTCAGCGCCAGATTCAAGAGCTACGACATCCAATGCAATACAATAGCATCGCCAATGCACGTACATGCGACGCGCGGCGCGCATCGTCGGCAAAGAGCTCGTAAAAGTCGCCCACTTGGTAGAGCAAAAGGCAATCTGGCAAAACGACGATGAATTGATACACTGATAGAGTGAGGGGCGGCACCAGGGTACTCCTTCTTGCGCTCGAGGTACTGCCGCAACATCGGCGTCACGGGCGACGAAGCCAACGCGCGGCAACCGAGGCCGAAGCGGGCGCGCTGGAGACCGACGCGGAGCATTATTGGATTGCGCTTCAGCACGCCTCTGATTGGTGGGTTGACGACATACACTAAATATGGGAGCTTGCCACACGAAATCACGCTGAAAAGATGGGTAAAATGGTGTAACTCTGGTCTTTGTTAAAGTGCCAGCCTTGAACGCAAACATTCATGCGCTTGACCATGCGACCTCTGGGTCGTCTTGCAAGATAGACGAGGGTCTGTTGTAAAGCGCGCATCGAAACGCCGACTTGATTTATTATCGGCGTTGCGGCACAGCGGTAGACGTATTGATACACTATATTATGGTCACACTAAAAGGGCGGAATGTAGGATGCGTGAATCCAACACTGCACGCTCCGTGGCCGTGCTGGACGACATGCAACAGAATCGCCAACGTGTATCTACGATAGCATAGCTCTAACGTCAAGCTTCGCGCTCTTGTCCCTGCTCTGTATACATCGCGCTGCGGAATCTTGAATCGTACACTATTAAAGTTATTTCAATCGGACTTCGCAGGATATCTTATCGTCCGGATACCGTGTCATGCAGGAACTGCCACGGAAACTTCGGTGGGCAACCACGAGCTGCAGCAACCTACAGCAGAACCCAATGATCGCCACACCCATCCGCCGACGCACCCGCCGTGACGAGGACGCCGAGGCCCTCGAGCAGGCGCTCAACGAGTCGCTGCAGTACGCCCTGCCTCTTGCCGTCTCGACATCTCAACGGCACGTAGGCCGGACTTTCTTGCCCAGATCGTGCACGCCGAGAACGAGTTGCGCCAGCTCAAATTGGCCGCCAGTGCCCGCGCTAGCGCCGAGGTTCCATCGTCCACGCCGGCATTGATCGACGACGACGATGATGATGAGGATGATGACGTTGATGCACCGGACGACGTGGCGGCCGCCGCCCTCGAGCCCGCCAACCTCGAAGATCTGAACGGTGCGTACACAACTGTGTCGAAAGGATTGTCGTCTCATGCAGCGCAGCCGACGTGCCTTGCTGCCACATGCCCGAGCGCATGCTCATGCTCGTGCTCGAGTTCCTCGACGAAGACACGATCGGCAACTTTAGCAACACGTGCCACCACTTTCACCGGGCTGCTTCGGACGGTACTGCCTACGCTGCTGCGAAAATCTCACGTGAGTCGTGTAGAGCACGTCTACGAGATGATGTGTCGGCGCGTCTTTACGATGCAGAGCCGCGGGCGGGCCGTCAAGCTCGGCAAGTTTTCGTCCTGGGCGCACATGTTTCGTAATCGGCCGCGCGTCAAGTATCACGGTCCGCTCGAGCATCTTCTGTGGCTATAAGATCTGAGTCGTGGCAGGCTTCTACGCGCTGCGCATCTCGTACTACAAGGAGCCCGAGTGGAACATGTGGACCGATCTCCCCAAAAATGCGATTCTGCAGGTACGTACAACACTGTCTGTGTGTGCAGGATGTCGCAGCGAATGAGACTATGTAGGCCATATACTATCGGTATTTCAACTTTCGAAGCGACGGCACGTTCCTGTACGCGATGACGCACCGCCACCCGCGCGAGGTAGATGGACATTCTGTCTGCAGACAGTAGGACAGAATGGTGTCGTGCTGTAGACCGCAGAGCTCATGCGCCAACGCGACACGGAGACCATCTTTGTGGGCAACTACCACTTTGCCCGCGGGCAAGTGCACGCGGTTGTGCCCATGCGTCACGGCACGCTCGAGTTCATCTTCCGCGTGGCCTCGAGGTTGGTGCTTTTGTATCAACTTGATACGATGATGATATTGAACGTGGGCAACTAGGTGGCGCGCGCCCAACACGCAATTGGTACTGCTGTCGCACGCGCTGTACCAGCCGTCGGATGTGGGCTTGCAGCGCCCGCACCATTTTGACGTGAACGACGAAGCGTTCAACTTTCGACGCTTCTGGCACCTCTAGCCCGCCATGGTTAACGGCTCTTCTTGTAGCAACTTTGATCATGCAATCGCTAATCTTGTAGCTCGTCTTATCGTGTGACGTGTCTCATCAAACATCACCCCATCCTGTGCACGCTCACGTCACTCGCTGCTACCATGCGTTGCTACGGATGTAGTAGTGTGCCAGCGCGATGATTTGGAGTGCAAAAGATATTGATGAACACACGGGGTGCAAATTCGA